ATTTATCGTTTTGAAGCTTTATATAATTATATACACCTGAGGATGGTTCTTTTAGGAACTGAAACATGTCGTGAAACATGAAAAATGATGGTCTAATGTAAATCGAATATTTCGATAAAGGACATCATTTAATATTTTAAATATTTTAAATGTTAATTATTGTAATATTTTAATATTTAATAAGAATTTATTGCGATTATACGGACAAAATTTAATATATACATTAGTAATGTATAACTAGATTATATAGGTGTTGTCAGTTATTGCACGTGTTTATACCTGAATTGCTTCACGAATTTCAGGAAATCGGTAAAAGATGCTCGACGATAGAGTTTCTGGAAAACACACATACTAAGCGCAAGAACTTTAATTATATGTTCAGGAATCCTTCTTGAGAAGCTGATAGTCGCTCAGCTAGTGAAGAACTTTTATAGAACCTAATGTTTCATAATTGTGTCCCCAGTAACCCACTACTGGACCTTATCATAAGCTATATCAATCCAGTTCACAACTCACGATATTTCTTTACTATTAATTTTAATGTTTTTCGTTTATACGTCTGGGTTACGTTTCCTAAATGTACGCTTTACTTCAGGTTTCCCTATTAAAATATAATATGCATTTACCATCTACCCCATGAGTGTTATGTTCCGCCTTCAGGCTTAAGGCGATATTTCTGCGTCCGTATGTTGTTTGTTTATACGAACTTCGTGGTGTAGGAGCTAGCACGTAGTTTGAGTCTGGTCCTTGAGAACGGCTATCCCTGCCTGTGATTGCTCACGAGTTTTCTCTATGAAGGAAACTTACGTCATTTCAGCCTCACATATTTTCACAGACCGCCGTTTATTATTTTCGACGTGTTACAGATCCTGGAATCGACTTAGTGTCATTAGATAAACCACGAAAAGGAATTGGTCACAATTGACTCTCGTATAAATCTCGGAGGCTGCAATACTACCCACCATTCATCTGTTTTGAAGCATCATTCTATTTGTATTTGTGCTTTAATATAGTACACACTCCGTCTAGTTGTTTTAGTAGTCGTTTGCATTTTGAGATTTTTTCCTTCTAAATTTA